TTTTTCATACATTTTTGTATCGATTTGTGTTATCACAGCTTCCTTCTCTCTATCGATATATAGTCGCTATCGATATCATTTCAAATGCGCGGTATTCACAAACCATGCTGCTTGAGCACATCGCATGAAAGTAAGCTACTAAATATGTACAATCAAAAAGATTAAAACCAAATTTTTATTACTTTAAATAAAACAATTGCGCAATTTTCGAATTGAATTTTTTTTCGCAAATTTGTACAAAAATCAAAATTCAACACTCAAGTGTGAACACAACACTTTAAATAAAATAAATTTATTACAACTTCAGTTATTACTTCACCACGTAGGATTGCAAAAATTATATGTAGGTATACTATACATATACATATTAGTATGTAAATACATAGATATTTATCATAAGAAATACATATTTATACCTGGGTGGCATTGTGTCCATCATCATTTTGTTGCTTTGACGGGAGGGTGACACTTGCGAGGAGAGTAATACCGAACAACAATGCAGCTATGTTTGTATTAACGTTAGGGCTTACGTTTACGCTTAGGATTACGTTAATAGGTTAAAAACGCTACTAGGATCTGAGAGTGTGTGTGTGTCAATGTGCTTATCAAATGGCCTCGATTGAGTTAGTTGCGTGTTTTTTTTTTGTTTTTTTTTTGCCAATTATTTAAAATTCCTTTACTGGGTTGGTGCTGTTTTTAATATTCGTTAAATTTTCGTTTTTTTTTTTTTTTAGAGATTAAGTTTAACTACGTTTTGTTTTTGTTTTCCGTTCAGTTAAAAATGCTATTGAATGTGGTGCTTCTTCTTTTTTTAGTTTTTTCGTTTCCCTTGTTTGTATTTTATTTTTTATTGTTTTTTGTTTGTTAATTTTTCCTTTCTGTTATAATTATCACTTTCTGTTGTTCTGTGTTTTGCGTTTATTGGCTTGTTGTTGTTGTTGTTGGTGAATGTCTTCGATGCCCGCAGCAATTGGTGGACATTTGCTGCATCTAGCAGCTCTGGCTCTGGCCTTTGAATTCGTTTCGTTTGATCGGGCCAACAACAAAAAGAAAAAAAAAACAACAACAGCACGTTGTAGCAGAATCGTGTCAACTTCAACTGAACAGACTAGTTAGTATCTGCAAAGTGCGCACACTTTCATACGCACCAACAACAAGTAGCTCACCGCACAGAGCACTGCTTATTTGCGCTTATCCTTTTGCGTTTGGCTTTGTTACTGTTGTATTTTTGCTGCTAGTTTGCTATTTTTTTTTATTATCGTTAATGCTAATGTTAATGTTGGCAATGATAAATGTAATTGACATATTGAGGGTGCACTTAAATTAACATAATCTGTTCAGTTATTGCACAATTCTGTGGTGGCGCGTGGACGTCAATGGCGCCGCGTTAAAGGGAAGGAAGACCAAATAAATCGTGGACAAATTCGTGGACAAGAATTACATATACATATATAAATGCATTTAAATTGACGTTAGAGAGTGAGAGAGAAAAAACACACGATGAATGGAGGGAGAGAAATACAAAAAAAACAAAAACAACAACATATTATAATGATTGCATTTTAATTATATGCGTGACTCGTTAGTTAGTATTGGTGAAATGGTTATTAAATGTAGGTGTAAATACACATTACCATAACTACCATAAAAAATGAGTAGAGCAAAAAAAAAAATATATATATGATTTTAATGCATGAGCTATGAGTGAAAAAATGCAAACAATAAAAAAAAAAATAAGGAAATCAATTTATTTTCGGTCATTTAATACAACCAACCCAACCTTTACCAGGATTAGTCGGAGATTGCCTCCCTATATAGGGTATGGAATAAACGACCCGCCTAATAATAGAAAGCACCTCTTTAGGTTTCCCACTCACTCCATCTGATACCTAATCAACAAAAAGGTGTACCGTTTGGAGACTTAGTTGGGGAAGTTAGATAGGGAATAGCTTGCTTAGGGGATCAGTACTACTTTATTACCATTAGTAACCATCGAAAATATATATTTTTTTTTATAAGTTTTAATTCTTTACAGCTCGTAGCTCTATCTACGAAAATGAATGGCTGATTAGTTGGTTGAACAGGCCACTCTCCTGACAATGAGGGTTAACAGGCAAAGTCCTTCTCGCTGGTAGCCACGAGCAGCACACGGTACTGAAAGAAGTCCTGACATGGCATTGTGAAGTAGGAATCTATGCTGCACCACACAATGCCGTTTCAAACCCCTAACGCCGTAGCTGTTGGAAGGAAACCGCGACGGTATAATTTCATCAACACTCCCGACGACCTTTCTGGGGTGGACATTAGCCACATGTTGAACTTGAAAATATTTTAAGTAATGAACAGCTGAGGTAGCATTCAAACTGGTAGATGAGTACCGAAAACTGGGAAGATACAGTAGGAACCATTAAACAGGACATAGCTGGGGTTATCACAGAGACCTTTTTATCGACATAAGCAAGGAGGAGCAACGACCTCTACATAACACACTAAATCCTCTTCCTAACCGTTGAAATATTTTTAAATAGCAACATCATTTTTCAGACGACGCATGCAGCTCCCAAACAGTAACTGACCGCTGCAGAACCTTAAACGGGCTAAATGAGGAGCTAGCTTTCGCCTGGTATGGCTAAGAGATGCCACACCTGTTTCATTTATTAGGTTTATTTCGTATATGCTCGCTACCTGTTAACTCTTTATGACTAAAGGAATTACCTATTTTGGGAAGCGAATATAAAACTGAAAGTTTATTTGCAAGTTTTCATTAAAAATTTTGAAAACATACAATCACATGCCAGGGATAGTGCTCTACCTAATTAAATGAATTAATGTTGAAATGCCTTTCTAGTTTACGATTATTTTTGTTTAAAAACTCAAACCACTATTCATTCGAATGGCCATTTATTGACTACGGCAGCAACTCCTAAATTAGGCACCGCAGATTGGTGTCATCCGCCAATTGGCGTATTATGTCGCCATTGTCGCTGCCAAGCGTGTCTAATCACGGCAATTTTATCAAATTTTAATCAGAAACGCAAATAATGCGACACCATTTCACTTTAGTGTACGAGTTTTAGGAAAATCTTATTTGTTTGGAAAAACAGAAATAAATAATTTATTTGTTTATTTGCGTTTCACAATAAATAACTAAATAACGGTGCATTTGGAATTTCATGCCATTTTATTGGTTTGTTGAAGCGAATTTTATTTCATTTGTGATTGTGTCGCTATCGAATTAGGTTGGTCGCATAAATTAATTACAAACCAAATAATTTAGAATACAAATGGCCGAGAAGCATAGATCACGTAGCGTGTTTGTATGTAGATACCTTTTGGATTTATATACAAACATACATACTTTACATACATTCATTTGTATGTATGTGTGTATGTGTGTGTATCGTTGTGCGAACGGACTAAATTTCTGTGTGGAATTTGTGAAATGCAGTTAAGTAATTGCATTTGCATTTGGGTTGCGTGCAAATAAATCACAACAACAAATCCTTATCACTGCCGACTGCGTTGATTGCTCTCAAATACAATAATATCCACTTAAAATTATTTGCGTGGGCAAACCTAATTCGCATTTAATTATTAAATATTTCAAATACTAATGAGCATCCTTTGGTTTTTGATTGGTGTCTAACTAAGCTTCAAATACTCGTCGTTTGTGGTAGATCAACTCCTAAATGTATGCACTTCAGTGCAGGAAAAAATATAGCTTTAAAGCAGCGAAAAGGCAGCTGGCTAAATCATTTGCAACTTTTAAGTTTTACGTGCTAATATGTCACATATCCAACTTTGAGATATAAAGTTCTTATTACCGCCTGTGCCATTGGATGTTAAGCCTAAAAAATTTCCTTTGTGTTAGCAGGATATCTGAGAGAGCCCCAAGCTTGCTACTAACCTCTGTTTAAGCGCTAAATATTTTTATTTTAGTGTAGGCGATGGGTGCCAAACTCAAAGGATTCTTACGTAAGGAATCCGGCCAATCCAATACATACACCAAATGTGGGTAAAATTACTAGATGAAAGCTCAAATGAAACAAGGATGGTTTAGAAGCCAGGACGTACTCCTTTAAGTCGGTTCGGAGCTTCCATTCCTAAATAGCAGCAAAGCATCAATGTTTCTTGTTTTGTAGTTCCCACCGATAACCTTCACATATTCGTTGACTCTCTGTTTAAATTAGACTACGCAGGCTTTTTAAAAGAAATCATTGATGTGTACAGCGTTACCAGTAAAACGCGACTAAATTAGGCATCTAAACCCATACTGGAAATACTGCTCCTATATACACTTGTTTGGCCGTTGCTTTTCAGATTCGATGGAATACATAGTCCTAGGAGACTATGGCTGCGGAGAAGTTCTTAAGAGATAGTAGAAACTTTTTGAGATGGCGGCGGTATTTGCGGCACCTTGAAGCTATCTATGTGTTTTCTTCAACAACTTCTCTGCTTTCCCGTACGCAAGCTGTGCTTCCACTTTCCACACTGAGAGAGAAATCGGCACGTTCTGTCGGGCAATGCACTCTGCCACACTTCTAGAATAAGTACCAATAGTGAAATAGAAAAATATTTAAATTTTCCCCAACTTAAGATCTCTTTACCAAAGTTAATGGCTCGTTCTAGGTAGATTTTTAAAATTAGGAGCACCAAATTTTGTGCTCCAAAAGCGTGAGACTAAAAATTTGATCATTTAATTTGTTCGCAAATACTGCATAATTGTAGGATCATACCTCATCATTTAGTAACCTCAGGAGATGAAAGCCTTGAGTGGCTCATTTAATGAATAGTTTCTGCAGTGCGGCTCTAAGAATTGAATAGTCATAATCAAAATTTTCGGAATAAAAGCAGGCCTGTCGAGATACCGGCAACATGAATAGATAAGAGAAGCAATGTGAAGTCCCCCAAATTCTAGTGGCATAAGCGACAGTTGCATACTTAAAGGTAAACCAACTTTTCAATGAGAGCATAAATAATTAAAATGAATTTTCCTTCAATACAAGCTAAGTACTTAATTGCTTATCGAACTCTCGCTTACCCGCACTTTTGTTTTTACTCATTAATCAGTTATGGAATTTAAACGTTCAAATTAAAAAAGACAAAAATATGGAATGAGTATATACAGCGATGACACGTAAAGAATGCTTGTGAGATGAGAAGCTGATAATGTAGTGTGATTTACGATATATGAACTTAAATAAATAAATATATAAGTATGTATCTATGTATATATGTATGTACGTATGTGAGTAAGCATATGACTAGCGTGAAAATGAGACTAAAAGAGAATATATGTAGGTAAGTAAGTAAATGAAGGGTAAATTTATCTACGTACTCGAGAAGCAGTTGGCGCAGTGTTGCTTCATCTTCGCCATGACATCTCAGTCGTGATTCACGATTTTCATTGCGTTCGCTGTTGTTGCCGTGTCGGGAACGTTTTGGCGCGTAACTAAAGGAATGACGATAAAAACGTCCACCATTATTTACGTTGCCACCACGATGGTGTGCGTCTGCGAAAGGGAGTTCGAAAAAAAGAAGGTAAAGTAAGTAATGGAGACAAGAGTGTGGCGAGAGTAATACGATAACAAAGAAAATTAAAGACTTAATAAAAAAAATTTATACAAATTTTAAATTGAATGAAAAAAAAAATATTGTAGATAGCAAGTATTCACTTGAATGACTCATCTAATTTATTATAAATGTGATTAATATAAATATTTTAGTTTTTTTTTTTTATGTCGAACTTCCACTGGGCGTTAAATGGCAAAAATTGTAATGAAAAAGTTTTTTTAAATGACATACATTTTTTGTCAAATCAATTCTCATTGGAAACTCGGTATTATGCCGTATTTCCACTGGGCATTAAATGACAAAACAATTTCTTTACAAATTTGGGCATTAAAACACTGGCATCGTTATATTAAAAATAAAACCCATTAGGTCCGTTTCCACACGCCAATTTTTTATAGTAGCATAATTTTTATAATTTTGATCTGTTCAATGCCTGGTGGAAGTTCGGCATTAAGCCCGAAAAAAATGAATACCACTATTTTAACTCAGTTTTTAGAAGTTTAATTTTATGTCAAACATTTACTCACCTTCTGGTCGCAGGCGTACGGGAGGCGAGGTCAGCTTGAGTGTAGTGGTGGTTGTTCTTGTTGCAGGCGGGGTCTTACGTCGACCACCAAAAACATAATCGTAAGAGTCTTCGCTCAAATTGGACACTATACGAATGCGAATATGTTCGAAATACACATATGTACATATATTTTTTAAACGATTTTTTTTTTTCAAACGAACATGAGAACTCTCGAAAAAAAATCATTAAATGCAAAATTAAAAAAAAATAATTAGAAACTCATAAAAAATAGTAAATAAAAAAAAAAACTGCATTTATACTCACTCTACGAAATAAATCAACGATAAAGCGACACGAAAAAAATAATTTTTTTTTTTTTAATTTTTTTCACAACGCAAACATTTGCCGTAAATGTTGGAGTTTTCATAAATTTTGCGGGTTAATTTAATTTTTTAATGTTTTTTGGTGTTGTATTAATATTGTATTTTTTTTTTCATATATCAACGCGTTGAAAAAACACACGCAGAAAAGAAATAGAGAACGAGTAATTTGATTTGTGGTTAGCATTTTTTTGTAAGCTTTATAGCAGATATTATTTTTTGTTGTTTTTGAGTAGCTGATGTGCATGTTTTTGGGTTTGTTGCATGTACATATGTATGTATGTAGTACACATATTGCAAATGATGTGGGGAAGTACATTTAGATGTTTGTTACAAGTAAAAAAGCACAACTTCAACTGTACAACTTCAACAAATCGGTTGCAAACGCACAAGCATCAAAAGATTTCATTCACTTGGATGAAAGAAGAAATACGAGTATACAAAATACGGCGCAAAAACTAAGAAAAATAATGCGCTCAGTTAAGCTGCAAGCGTTCGAGGTACAGCTGTAGCCAAGAAAAAAGTCCAAATAGAAAAAAGTGGACGGAAGAAACATTTGAGAAAACACTTAAAAAGGTATGCCAAACAAATATTTTTTTTTTACTTAGGAAAACAAGCAAACATCAAATATTTTCTTATGACTTCGTGATGGCAATGAAAGTAGCGAAATTTTTATTTTTTTCATTTGAAGTGCAAAAACGACGACGATGTTGTTGTATTTTTACAATAGCTGCTTAAAAATGCAAAAACAGAAATTTTAATCTCACATGAGGTGATCTTATGTATGTACCTATGTATGCACATTAGACCACGCCAACAAAAAAAAAAATAAATAAAAAATCCTGCAATGCGACCGGAGTAACAAATGGGACAAGGGACTAAAAAGGATAATTTAGGAATTTAAATAATCTGAGTCTGCATAACACTTAAATGGCATGTAATGAATGTACCTCATCTTACAGTTTCGAGTGTTTTCATTGATCCTAGAAAATGATATTCATCTCAAAAGGAAAAAACTAATTTTCTCTTTTTTTGGACTCTTATTCTGGTCGCATTGCAGGATTTTGACGTGGTCCATTGCATATATACATATAAGTTCTGCGTACAGCCCTGAGTGTTACGTATTTTTGAAAGGCAATTGCAAAAAATATTTTTTTGTCGAATCTGCATTGGACAATACATTTTATTTTTATAATAGCTCTGGAATAATCGAAATACTTCATCGGAAAAAATTTACTAATTTTTAGTGAGCTTAAATTCATTTTAGTGAGCTTTAATAATAAATACTGAGATCTGGTGCGCAAAAACTAGAGCAGGGTACTTGAGGAACAGGAATATCAATATATCATACTTTAAGATCCGACTGTAACCGCTGAATATATTACGAAAAATTTAAAAAAAAATTTGTTTTTGAAATTGCTCTTACAAAAACACTTTTTTTCTGTTGTCTAATGTACATACATATACGGCTGATTATATTTATTGTGGAATTTGTTAAAGGTGTGCTGTGAACTAAATTTTGCTCGTTGGTTGGGGCGTATACGCAACCTATGTAAGTAAGTGTTTATTTAGTGTAGTGTGGCGGTTTTCGTGCATGGCTGACAGTGATGCCACTGAAAACAAAAACTACCAAAAACCGTTGAAAAGTGCAAGGATGGAGGCTGCTGTGTGTGCTGTTTGCGCTAACATGTTTGCATGTAAGTGCGTATAAAGTAATCGTCGTGCAGTGCGGACGTGTTTGTTTCACTTGCTCGTCAAGTTCACTCAAACTTCAATGTACATATGTATACTATAG